AGGTGTCAAAGCGTAGCAAGTCTTCAGAATATCTACTCGTCAAATCTCAAATACGCTTCTAGAAGAACTGTAGAAGCTTATAAACTTTTCGAGATAGGTCTTCATCGAGGATTTCAAGGGCTGTCTGTAGGTGGGAACTTGTACGAAAAATGAGTTGAATGCTGAACAAGTACTCTAGAGGAGTTATAAACTTAGCAAATCAGTTGAATACCGCGCAAGTCTTGATGAATATTATTTCAAAGCTTCATCTTGAACTAGCATCATTACTCGGGTCTTAAAATTGTTCTTCCGCATCGTTAGCAGCTGGTAAACAAATTTTCATGAGGCCTTTGAAATTGTGCTGCATGTCATCCGCTGAGACGCTTTTCATCACCGTAACATGGTTGACATGGGGCCTACTTTGAAAAGAAAAATCTCGTAGATTTTTGTTCGTAAGGATTTACAGCCCTTCAGAGGCAAAGTCCACGATAAATATTTTTGAAGTTTCTTACAGATTTAGATCTCTTGCCTACGAAGCTAGGAAATGAGCCGTTTCTGAGTGGAAATGGGATCTGGATAGGGTGTAATGAAGGCTCAAAAATGTTTAAAAAAATAGCAATAACAATAAAATATATATCAATATGGTCACAGTAGCAGAAAGCACAAAACAGCAACACGAACAAAAGCAACGATGAGTAGCGCAAAATTTTGAATGCATGCAGAGCAGACTCATGGCGACAGTGAAAGACAGCCTTTGGCATTTTTTTCACACAGTAGCTAGCAGGTGCCTCTCCCATGTCACTTGCGTCATGAAACTCTCGAATAATTCCCAATTTTAATCACTGCTAAGAGCCCAACCCTTTTTTATCATATCTTATAGTCTTGCACTAAGTAGGTTCTCGCTTTTTCTGTGTCACCAATGCACTATTCTGACCAACACTTTTATTTTCTAACTTGAAAAAAGTAGCTCAGAGCTAACGTGAACTGTACCTCTAAGACGGCCAACGGTGCCGAGAGGGGCGCTTAAATAAGGATTTAAAAAGGCAAAAAACAGATCCCATGTCCGTTGTCGGTCAGTACTTCTAAAAAAATCACGTGCTCAACGGCTCTGTAGAAGCAGATCAAGGCGGTATATTCACGCAAGTAGCAAACACAACACAAGTTGCTCTGTTGCGTCAGAAATTTCGTTAAAACACCCTTCCGTCGTCATAGCCTTGTCCAACACTAAAAATGAACCAGTTCAAAAAAAAAACCATATACTTCGGATCAAAGCAAGTTTTCCCGCTTCATTTGAAGCAAATATCTTCACTCCGTAATCCAATAAACCTACATAAATTACTACAAACTATGCCTCTCAGAGGCAGCACGGTGCGCAGTTCGTCTAACACCTGAAAGGATTCATATACATTTCGAAATTGAGAATCCATAAGCAGATCAGAGAGCCATTCTCTTTAAAAGTACATGAATAGACTACATTTACTGACTGAACTGTACGCCTATTGACCACATTTTTCCAAAATCAGATAATCGCTTATATGATAAAGAAGTTCAAAGTGAAGCAAACGCATAGCTGTATCCTGAATTGATTATTTAGTTTTGTATTTCGAATTAATACATGCCTCATTGATTCCAGCTACCGTCAGGATAGCCTTTGTGTGATTGCTTCGACGTTGTGCATATTGAGCCGTGTTGCGAAATCTTTCTTCAGAAAACTGAAAAGTATCAAGATAGAGGAACAGAATTGAGAAGGAGTATGTGGGGATGAAAGTTTCGAGCATTCCAAGGATTCAACCGTATGTATTTGTTCCACAGTACTTGGATTCAAGCTGAGAAGGCCTGCGACGGGTCTATATGACATAATTCCAAGAAGTTGTTAATTTGCCAATGAAAAATCCATTTCACAAACAGAATCGATGGTTCTAATGACAAAGTAAATATTAGGTTATGCCGCCTTAATGTATGTAGTTTGTGGACTTATTACGATGGCCATTCAAAAAGCAGCTCATTTTACTATATTACCATGCATTAGAGCAGTACTTGGTCACTCCGTCACGATCATAATGATGGTAAGCGGCTTCAGGAAACACTCGACTGTTGAATTCGTCGTGTTCAAAGGATCTATATCGAGCAGACTTACATTGATTTTATAGCCATTAAAGAACCATTCGGCTTGTGGTGAAGGTGTGCCGTCGTAAGTGCATGATATGTTAACGTCAGCGTTTTTTTTGACCGGTACGAACGTGTGTTCTGTTCTCACCCAAGGCGCTTCTGAAAAGGTAGACGATCGCAATGGTTGAATCCGATTTCTTTGGCGTGCACCCTCAGTGCACACCATATCGATCGAAGATACTACTAGAATGCATAATCTAAGTTAGTGCAAATCTCAGCTGGCTGCTATGCGTGCGATATAAAAAAGCCTAGACAAGAAAAATCCGTAAATTAAAATGAACACAAAGCAAGGAAAATGGGCTGAACTCAACAAAACACTAGTCAGTCTTTGTTGCTCTGAGCTTTGGTTATTCGACTGAAGATGGAGTTAACTTGGAATTTATTTATCGCTACCCTACCTTCGATGATATACTGATTTGATTCTCTTTGGCGCAACATTTTGAAACATTATTCTTCATAAGCCATGATCATGATAGCTGAAGGATCTGTGAGCATAGTGTTCCGATAGCACAAGTTGTCCTCGAAATGTGACGCAAGGCTAAGGTGACGAATTTGGCCTGCAGCATACCACTCATGAATTAACTTCCTTAATTTTCCGTTTTCCCAGCTACTCCGACAGCCTATCTTAACACCATTCATGAACCTTCGAATGACAGGCGACGCTTTCATTCCAATACAGAACGATGACTTTCTGTAAAAAGGACTTAATGCGGTGGATTTCTGCACTTGGATGAAAGCGTTGGAGTTTTACCTGTATTTCAGTGAACCTTCCAACTATGTAAGCTACTTCATGCAGACCTATTCGTAATTATTTATCTAGAACTATCAGTGCACAACGTTTGGCATTTATGTTTTCCGTTTTTAGAATGCGCTCATGAATTTCAGTCCGAACTCTAGTAAATAGATTCAAATTAGTGTTAAGCCTACACAATGATTCGCGGTGACTAGCCGCCTAAACATGTTGGTGCCCTAACCCTCTCAGGCCAGTTTGGTCCCATGCAACGACTCAGGGGCAATCGAAGACTTGGTTGGCATGGGCGGGTATAAGTCCGGACTCCAAACCCTTTCTGAAAGGCAGCGCCACTTAGAACTATGTACCCATTGTCAGCCTTCAACTGAACATTGGGTAAGTAAGAACAGCTTTTCGAGGCATACGCATGTTCTTTCCATGGCGTGCGGAGTAAGAAGAAAGATTTCCTTCAGTTCCTAACTCGTTTTTTACCAACATCCTGTCTTGCTACTATCTCACGGAACTCGCGATATCTATACTACAATAAGGTATTAGGAGTGAACGTTTAATGAAGACCTTTCGTATTAGGTCACACAAAAAATGATTCATAGCAAAAAAGTTACTCCCGACAAGTGGACATTTATAGGGTTACTCTCTTTTTTGTTGTCTTAAACACTGACAATATATCGCAACGGTAGTTGGGTAAGATCAACGCCCGGAGCACAGGCTTATTTGAATAATTTGTCAGTGATACAGCTACATGTGTGATCGCTAGTATTTCTGAAAGAGCCATAAAGTTGCCCATGATGACAGCAATTCATAAGGACATCTCCCTAGCATCCTGCTTCTCAGTGACTACACAGCAATTGTGGCGTGGTAGGGACGCGACAGCAGCTGGCTGAGATCATATCCTTGGCATACTAATCACCTTCGCGCTAAAACCCTGTACTTACCGAACCACAACAATGTTTGTTATTGTACAGAATGAAGCCAAAAGAAGCATTGCAGATGTGTTACACTGAAGGGTTAGCAAGGTGAAGAGCAAAGGAGATCAACAGTTCAACACATGCACCGGTACGACATCATGCTTGAACTCACCGTGATTCGCAGCATCTTCACGCTCTGTAATAAACCGTTCAATCAAACAGAAACACATCAATGGAAAACACGTGCTTTCATTTTGAAGAAATAGCGGACTACTATAAACGGCACTTTTTCTAGATAGGCTCGAAGCGGTTACAACTGTAATTGCAATATTTTGGGAATCGTGAACTAAAAACAAGACGAGTTAATAAAAACAATCAGTGGTGCAGGCAAACAAGCCATCTCATAACAGTTCCGTCTAATAAAAGCCAAAAGGCTGAGACTGATATACAACATGGTTTCCTGCGCTTAGGAAGTTGTTAAAGTTTCCACGAATTCCTTTTTAGCATAATGTTTTAAATTCTACATTGCAGGTTCCACTAAACTAGGGTTTTGCTATGAAGAAAACACAGCGAAAATTCCTGATCATCTGTGGTAATTTAGCGTGCTACATCTTTCAAGGCTAAAGATTGGTAAACAACTTGTTTTCGGATCATCCTCAAATGTAGAAAGAGTACATATGAGCAAACATTCTGCGTTACTTTTGCCTAATCTCTGAGCGACTGCACCGCTAGTGCCGAACTTTTTTCTAGGCATTAGAAGATCAAGCTAATGGATATATTTTAGATTTACACTTGGCTATCATTTTCATAGAGAACGCCCTACAGTTGATAGTGCTCACCAACGTGCTTTTCTTCTGGTATTCTAACTTCAGCCCCAGAAGTTATATATTGCTAGCCTACACTACTCATGTAGGCCTCTTTGGAAAGCTTATTTAGATGATTTTGCTCCGCTTTTCAATTCCAGTTCTCTTGTGCATGCAACCTAGACCACGGAGAGCGACACTGGTCCATCTATCATACGTGTAATGTCTATACAAACTGCGGGTCTATACAAATGACATCATAAGCCAAATCATCAATGGGAGAACTATCTATCTCACGCTGTAAACGTAGTTTCAATTTCTCAGTGAGAGGTATTTTTTGTGCGGAAAAAACTGCACTCGTTGTGTGTGTAGGTTGCACAGCAAAAATGACACTCAAAAGAAACAACTGAAGTAGAACATCTTTTTACATGCGTGACTGAACAAAGGGAGAAGCGTCAATCGACACTGGGATGATGTTCGAAAGAGCGAAGATCCAAAGATTTGCTCACCGTTTACTTGTATTTTCAGTGTGGCAAAGTCACTGCCTGCCGCATTAGTCGCCGTGCATTCATACTCGCCCGAATGCGACTTTTTGGCCTTTGAAATCACCAGTTGTGGACCACGAACCGACAAGTCCGACGGCATTCTTCCATCCTTAACTACGAGTTTATCTCGTTGTGGTAATGTAATTTGGAAACGATGATTTGCCAATTTCATGCTACCGTCAAGGTGAGAGTCGTCGTTTGTGGCGTGCCATACAATGCCAGTAGGCGCTGACCGCTCTCACCAATTACACTCTAATAACGGTGATTGACCTAATCTCTGGGTCGGGATTATCATCAGAAGCTCGGGAAATGATTGGCTATGATTGACCACATGATTCATTACGCTGATACTGAACAAGTAAAATACATATGCTAGTTGCTTTGTTGGGAATGAAGTGTGAAAATGGATAAGTGCTCACCTTCCGAGACCATCTAATTGTCGGAGTTGGATTACCCTTAGCCAGGCATCGCACAACCACTTGTTCATCGCCAACCGACAACAGGTATTCTGGCTCATCCGGTGAGATGACGACAGTTGGCGGAGCTGAACGTGACATATGTAAGATAGAGGATCGCCTCACTGTATGAAGTACATTCACAAATGTACCTGCGTCAACCATTTTTTGGCCCTGAAATGGAACATGGGGTTCTGATATCATACTACATGTTTTGGTGGAACAAATCGTAATTCGTTCTATACAAACTACTTTGTGTTTTTCGCAGCGTCGGCCTCGGCCGAGCGATTGTTTTTCTGGACTGTACTTCGTTAGTTGCTGAAGCAGTGCCGGTTCCTCTGACGATTACCATTGCAAGCCCTCTCAATAATGGCAAAAGCTAATCATGAGGCCGAATGAACCCCAAGAGACAGACTTGAAGTGGAAGTTGCAAGTGCCCAGACTCTTGAAAGGATTTTACCGGCACTAAACTGATTCTAAGAAGCAATAAACTTTTCTTGAATTGCATATCTTCAAGTGGAGCCAACGAGGCTGTTCAAAAGGGTTCCGTAATTGAGACTACATGGGTAGGGAACATGTCAGGCGGGGATGCGAATAAGGTCCGAATTAAATCTAAGGTGTTGTAATTAAACGGCTATCATATCACTCGCTGGATACACATGCAGGGACGGCATCCCTTCAGTGGTTGAAGGCATAGAGGAGGAACGGCTCTTAATCATGACGAATTAAATACGGAATCAGGACTGATCTACCACAAATTCTGAAAATCTGCCAACGAAGTCGATCCGATCCAAGTGCTGCTCGTTCATTTTGACAGACCACGCTGCAGATTGCGTAATGATCAATGAGTTATAGGCGGTCACATCGATGAGGGCCTTAGATAGCCGAATTATGTCGTCCAAAACGATATCACGTATATAAACATCCCAAAGAGTTTTCGTTTTCGAATAGCTTGATGGAGACTTTGATTATGCTCACAGTGTACAATGATCTTGTAGACGATCTCCTGTTCAGGTTCCAAGACCGCGCACACGTAATCACTCATGTCCATCGGTTCCACGTCGAGAATTGTGAGCGTTGAATTCTAAAGGCCATATCCATGATTTGCACGTCTTCCCTCATTGGTTGTGCCACAATCTGCCACTCACCGATCCGTCTTTGATGACCTGCATACGTTCGTCCTCGGCGAGGTTCTCCTCGTCAATGAAGAGAGGATTCTCTTTTCGCCGCCATATGATCGGCCCTGATCCGAGATCCTGTACGTAACACGGCAACTCCAACTGTTCACCTTCATTCACCTGCAAGACCATCAACAAAAAAGCTGAAAAAAGTTAAGGTTAAATGAAATTAACTACCGTTATCGTTTTCCCTTTAGTGACGATTTTTTGACACTCGGTCATTTGTATGAGGGCAATCATAAAAAACAAACACCTCATTTTGCCAGATGTCGTCAGTCTTACGTCGTGTATTTGTAAACCTGTAAAATACCTGATGAAACTCAGATGTAATTCGTGACGCATTGACACATCACGAAACTGCATCGATAAAAACAATGATGCCATTCAAAAAAAGCCAAGTGCACGCGAAGGATTCGAGAATTGTGGCGCCGTAATCTTCTGCTTTAACCCCTTCAAGATACGTTTGGGCCAGTAAACAATAAGAATACAGAAAATGAGTCCTGGAAGGACGGGCTGGGTCGACTCTCATTAGCGGGGCAAATCGGGAGAGGTAGGGTGAAAAGGGCAGAAATTTTCTGTGAGGTTTTCGGCAGTCTTCTTAATCTCAGCAACAACAATGCAACGTTGGCGATAACTCCCGCGAACAAAAAAGTGCATTCGGCGATAAGAATGATGACCCCTGGGGCGATGTTCTGAACGATCGAATTCTCTGGGCTTCTTTACTTTTAGCTGCAGAGAGCATGAATTACACAGGTTAATGATCAAAGGCAGAAGATGGAATGTTTGTGACGATGTAAGACCGAATAGAACTTAGCTCGAACACAACTAATTTCTATTATTTGAACAATCTGAGCAGGGCTGGCTAGATCTGTGGTTATGGAAGTAGTGATCTAAACGAATGGTGAGAATATGAGCAGCAGTTCATTCTAAGATATAGGGTGCGCAAAATTCAGGAAGAGAAGGAATTGTAGCGGTAGCATTTGAATGAATAGCCTGCAGCATCAAAGATTCGAGCGCTGCTGCCCAGTGAAAAAAGCTGCATCTTCTTGAAGAGCTAACGGGTTCAACCTATTTTTGACTGACGACAAATGGTCAAGAGCGTGTGAAAAGGCGTAGAGGGACACTTACACTGAACTGATAGAAAAGGTCAGCGCCACTAAGATAAGTGCGTGCGACGGTTAGTGAAATTGTAATTGTATCAAGGGCAACGCTACCGTTGAGCAAATACAAACAGTATGTGACTGGTTTTATAAATTCAAAAAGCATCCCAGAGTGGTCAAGCTTATGGCTTTCGCCATTTTTTTGGAGTGGAAATTTGCAGTGATTAGGAAGGGAGGAGTGGTTTATGGACCATGCCGGGGATGCGCATATGGTCCTGCATGGTCAGCCTCCTCCCTCCCACCCCTTAGCCTCCTCCCCCTACAATCGCTTATTACGTGGGGGACGGGGGCGTTTATATGATGGTCTCGAATTTCGTCGAACCAACGCTAGCCAAACAAAAAAGAAGTAGAATTGAGAACAAAGATCAGCCCATTTGGAAATGATGACTCTGCTCAGTAACAGAGCGAGATGAATGAGCCGAAAAAATTTCGAACATGACTGTTCGAAAGTCAGACGCTGGCCGGTGCCTTATTGCAGCACTTTGTAGGTTTTGCTATTGTTACATAGAATCTGAAAAGCGTGGTGTTAGCATTTCCCAAGCATCCTTCGCTCTCGCTCTCTGAGCAGAGCCTAAAGCCAGTCAGTCTGCCTCTCCGACCCAAAAAAATTCGCTCGTCATCGTTTCTAGTTGAGGAAAAAAATGTGGCAGATGTGTATGTCTATGATGATTAGCATTGACAGTATCGAATAATTGAGGGGGATTTGACGTTCAGAGTGAGTCACGAGCTCGTTCGAATTAAACTTGTTCAAATTTCAGTTATCGAATGTCGATGAGCCTCGCTGTAAAACCGCCCGCACCCCTCTCAAAGTTTCACGTTTGAGAAGGTGGTCTGCTAGTTTTGTTGAAGTGAAAGAGAAGAGGGAAAGAATGCATGAGTGAAGACGGAAAACTGATGGTTCCGAAGGGGACATGACGTTCGACGCGAGCAACTGCGGCGCCCTCACCCCCTTCAATTCCGCTGCTCGGTTTCCGGCAAGCTTCATCTTTTTCGCATTTAACCAAGGCAAAAACCTAGACAGCTAGTGGTGCGCGAGCCATCAACATTTCCCAGCATAACCGATTGCACCCAGTTGCTGAATCGAATAAACAGAAGCTCGTTGCGCTGATTGCGAAAACAAGCGGATATGGGGGCATGACCTTGGCGTCGTAATTGGCATATAACAGAAAGAGCTCTTCCTTGCTTGAGGGCGAGAGCATGACACCATCAAAGATTCTCTTCCCTTCTGTGCATGAAAGAAGAGGGTTCTCGTCTATCCCTAATCTTCACTGAGAGAGGGAACGTTTTAAGGTAGATATCTCCGAAGAAAGGCGGAGGTGGGGTAGTGGCACGTGGCGCACTACCACACACGCATTGACACAAATCCCGAATCCGAAGCCCAGGCCAACCAAGCCTTCCATCTTTTCGTGGTCGGTTAATTGATATCAGACTTTTGGGAGGATAAAAGCACCGACTTTTACATAAGTTGGCCATTGTATAGGCCACATACGCATTAAATACACCAGTACGATTCTGAATGCAAGTCGAATGCGGGGGTGCATCCTTCAGATGGGATTGATTAACGCCCAAATTCTTCATATTCGAAGAAGTTTTAGATCATGACAGTATAGACTCTACAAAATCAGGGGTGTTAGGTAATAAAATTATTAAATATAATACGAGTTTCGTTTGTGACAACGAGTTTTCATCCGCCTGAGCTTTAGAGCCATGGCCTGTGACGAAGATGATTGCGGCGAAACGATAGGGTGTTTAAATAATAAATAGTTCCACATGAATATTTCGCACGGCACATGAATATAACAATCGCAAATAATAAGAATAAATAAATCTCAGTAGCTTTTTCGAGAGCAGAACCTCATTGGAGAGAGTCATCGAATATTTTGCAGTCAGATATCTTGTCAACATTCCAAGATGGGTTTCTTCTACAGGAGAAAATAGAGGGGATGAGAAGGACGCAAAATTATTTTTACGCTCAAATCGCAACTACCAGTGATGACAATATTAGGAGCGATCGAACCCATACGTATGTATATGCGATATTGTTCTCCCCTTTTACGTGATGAGTGATCATAGCGAGTACGATTCAACAAGTTCGAGGACAGAATTTTCGAAAAGGGCCATTCGGTTTCTACACGAATGCTACTCAAAGTAAATAATGTCAGGCACATACATACGCCGGCGCCACCTCGAAATCGCCATCTTCCATCGCATTGATTTCGTCCTTTTGCAATACCTCATTCTCGAAAGCGCAAATAAAACACTCTTCAGTGTCTTGTTCAGCATCGTTGACGATGATATGACGGCAACAAGTGGTACATAACAAAGGAAGAGGAAGAGACGGACACGCAGCGAGGTGGCCAACGAAGGAGGTGATGGTTACACTAGGGTAGTGCGAGGCGGTATTTGTTTGTACCATAACGGCGAGAACCGTTTACGAGCACCCAATTGTCTCTAACAACGCCTCCTATGGTCACTCTTAGTCACGTAATAAATGAATACACGGTTCAAGGTAATTGTTTACTCGAATTGTCACCCGTCAGCCAATTTTCGGATGTCATCACAAAAATACCCTAGAACGCGACCAAATCCGCAAATTACTCTGTATTCAAACTAATGAGTTCCCATTTGAAAACATGAGAACATGTGAACGACTTAAAGATGGGCTAACAGCATTCTATTCACTCTTGAAAACGGGATACATTTAATTGGTGGTAGAAAAATGTACAAAATATTGGAAGTACTGTAGTCTTTGAGAATGGCTGCACCATATGTCTCATGAGCTTTGATAAAGTTACACATGAGAAGCGGAAGGGCTTTCGCATGACAGCAGTTAAAACGGAGCTGCACTGAAAGACGTTGCCATGGGTGTTAGGGCAAAAAAGGATGGGGATAAATGAAGGGATTGATCGAAGAGAGAACCTGAACCAATTTCTGGAGAACATAAATTTCTGAATATACTTACTTCTTATTACACTAGTACCGAAAATCTGTGCTATCGTGGCTCAATTACATCTGAACGAGTTTTGATAAAGCATCCTCAAACATTCAGATTGGTAAAAGGCCGACAGGTATACTAAGCGCATTTGGGTGAAAACTCTTCGGTCCTGTAATGTTTAGCGTTCCAAGATCAATGATTCATTACCAGGTTGGTAATCCAAAAATAAATGCAGGAGAAAATCGTTTGAATATTCGAATGCATTGAGGGCATTATCAGACGAAGAAAAAGAAAAATAATTGCTGACAAAGCCCACTGGGAAGACTTTCCAGAGTGAAGCAGTGAAAGCGACCAACATTAACATCACACAAAGATGCACTAGCAAAGTGCTGTTGGTGATGGTCAGAACCTCATCCCGAAAGCAATGCCGAAGTAGGCGTGGTCGAAAGAAGCGATAGAGGCGTAGGGAAAATGCCAGAGTGGAAGGCAAGTAGGAAGAAGCAGAGATCATGAGTAGAGCAGAAGGTGGCAATTTAGCTGCCTGGTAGTGTAACCTCATAGATGTTAGAAGACAGAAAGAATAGAGGATCATTTTTTTCCTCAAACTAATACTAGACTATGTTCTAGCTAGGCTTTGGTCGTATTTAGTATTCCTCGGTTCTAGGTAAAAAAGCAAGAATCGTTTTCAATGCGTAAAACCGGAGATCGAAATAATGGTGTAAGAAGAATTGAGGTACACTAGTTCTTCATAGCTACAGGTAATCGACCTGTATATGTGAGGCATGGACTAGTGCTGATGGGACGTACGTAAAGGTAATAAGCAGTCTATGAAATTCTACCGTTACTTGTCGAATGTAATTGTTACAGCGTTGGAGGGAGGCTACATTAGTGGATGAAGGCTTATAGAAGTCAGATTCAAATACATTAACTCATTCAATTTTTACGCCCACTTCGACTTCAATAATTAGGTTTACGATAGAGACTGAATGCGGTCAAACAGTATTTAGTAGTAAACATTGGTGCTAGGAAAGGTCCAACATGAGAACATAATCGTGTTCAACAAAATACGCTCTATGAAACCTGCTTAGACGTACTGGTAATCGAGAAAAACAGGTTGCTAGTACATGACCGAATGCAAGTTGACCACAGGACTGAAAAACTATTGTTTGTCATTTTTTATAAACGTCGTGTGAATAAGCGCTGCACGCATTCGTCATTGAATAACTGTACAGCACTGTGATAAGGAAAGTGATAT